TTTCAGCCTTGCCCAGCACGTGAGAAGAGATCACGGAAAGGTAGTTGATGGGCAGGTATACGCAATATGTGGCCAAGGCATCGGAGGCGATGTAGAGAGTACTTCTGTTAGAGAGCAACTATCCACACTCAACACACGACGACGAACCTCGTCATTGCTCACCTGTTGTTCCCACCAGACACGAGCAATACTTCGGAGACATCGGTGATCGAATACAGAAAGTCGATTAGGATCCTCAACAAGGAGCGGCCAGGTTTCGCAACCTCAAAGGAGACCGATGCACATGCCGCTCAATTTAGAAACATATTTCAGTTTCTAATATCATGCTTACACATCGACAATTATGGGTAAACATCACTTATTGCGAACTTTATCTCTGAGTACGATGTTCCTTATTCTCTTGTATCATTATTAGACTTGGTGTGACCTTGAGTCATAATAAGATCTGTAGGAACATATGATTGATTTTTACGGTCCGTAGAAAAGCAATCAGATCATCTCTTTTACTTTAAACAGACCAGGTTGTTTTTGTGTGACCAGTGTTCTGCGGGTGTCTAATCGTTGACGAAATTCTATGAGAGTTGCCCGAAAATGTTGATAATCATCTTTCGGATTGCACTCGCATGCACAATCCCCAGTTCATCCAATCTACCAACTACTCAGTAAGCATCTGAGACTGCAGTTTCGCTGTTGTTAGACTTCACCAATGACTTTTAATCACCATCCCGTCCGGAATTTGAATTTCGGATCTACCGTGCCAGCCAGCCAGCGCACATCAGAACTGGCTAAACTTACTGATGTACTGATCCAAGCTTGCTCAGTTGACATGTCCGAAGATGATCGGTCAGTTTATTATTTAGGTCACGCGATAGCGGATGGGAAAAGCAGATGATGATTTGTTTACTTCAGAGAAAACTGTTCCACTTAATCAAAACACTTATGTGATTACTGGGTAAATAAAAACCTGATGTTAGATCTGAATCGTATTTGTGAAGACCACGTGCAGTGTTGGTCCAGATGGTCTTTCATCTACCCTTCTGAGATATGGAGCCTATTCTCTTAGTGAGATTTTCACAT